CCAGATATGTGTCTAACGGTCAAGCCTTTCAACCGTGTAGATTGTCGACTCCTCTTACTGGAAAATGTCTTTCCAGATGCCTGAGGAGATGGTGGAGGAGATGCCATTTACCTGTAATGAAAAAAACATAGAATTATATCAATACACATGCAAAGTCTCCTCAATTACATGTTAAAAAAATAAATAAATAGAAACATAACTTAGATTGTATTAATATTTTCCCATATGCCTTCATCATGGTCATTGCGAGTAGCATGAACAAAGTCCTCTTCCAATTGGGATATAGCAATAGGCAACCGTGGTGAATTTTGAATGTTAATAAAATCATCTAATTCTTCTCCATTCTCATTTGTGACATCAATCATTTTTCCTTTGAGGACAACTGACCACCTATCATTTGATGGATCAGTGACATAAAACACTTGTTTTGCCTGGTATGCCATTATGAAGGGTTCTTCCTTATGACCAATCTTGTTTATATCAATCAAAGTAAATCCCATTTGGTCTCTTTGGACACCAGTATTGCTATCAACCCATTTACATTTAAATAAAGGCACTTTGAATTTAGTATAGTCGACCTCCCAAATCTCCTCAATCACTCCAAAGTAACTAATTGATGCCATGATGGGGTTTTTGTCCTTTGCACTAGAAAAGTGCATAGATGTTGCCTCAATAGATACTCCACTATTCTAGACCGTACTTTTGTCATCTTGTGCCTTCGTATAGAATGAGTATTTGTTAATGTCATACCCTTGCCAAGTTATAACATTATATCTAGGCCCATGTGCTAGCCATTTCGAGTGTATCGGAGGCATTGTCACTTGAAAATATTTTGCTTTGAAACCAATTGATAAAGTTGTTGTTATGCTCTTTCATCAACCACCTTTCACCCATTTTGGGGTTTAGGTCCTTTAACATTGCTTTATGCGCATCTATGTAAGGAATAACCTCTTCTGTATTGTTCAAAATATACAAGTGGGCGGTGGTCAACTCTATATGATCTTTTGTTTGAATTCTAATACCACGAGTTCCCTTACCAGTTAGCCTATCATCATGACGATTTCTAGGTACACCCACAGGTACGACTCTTGCCAAGTAATCTGAACAAAATTCTATGGCTTCTTCTGCAATATACCGCTCAACAATTGAAGCTTCAGGTCTATATGGATTTTTAGAATACCCTTTGAAGATCTTCATGTATCGCTCAATTGGGTACATCCACCTCAAATAAACCGGCCCACAAATTCGTATCTCCCTCACAACATGAACGATTAAGTGAATCATTATATCAAAGAATGATGGAGGAAAATACATCTCCAATTGACATAGCACAACCGTAGCCTCATTTTCCAACTCATCTAGTGATTTTTCATCGATAACCTTGGCACAAATAGAATTGAAGAAAAAACATAGTCGCATAATGGCATGTCTAACATTCTTAGGCAATATGTTACGTATAGCCACGGGTAACAACTGTTGCATCAAAACGTGACAATCATGGGACTTTAATCCAATTAACTTCAGATCTTTCATGGATACAAGACTCTTAATATTTGAAGAGTATCCTTGTGGCACTTTAATACTTGCAAGACAATGACATAAACTACGTTTATCCTTCTTTGACAAGGTGTGACATGCTGGTGGTAGATATGTTCTATTGCCTTCAGGCCTTGGATGTAATTCAGGACGTATTCCCATCTCACAAAGGTCTTGACGTGCTTTGATCCCATCCTTTGACTTTCCTTGAATGTTTAACAATGTGCCAATGAGACTATCACATACATTCTTTTCCACATGCATAACATCAATACAATGTCGTACTTCTAAATGACTCCAATATGGAAGATCAAAGAAAATTGATCTCTTCTTCCACATGTTCTTGTCAGAAGACCTTTTTTGGGTCTTTCCAAATGTAATGCTTATGTTCTTCACTTGATCGTAAATTTCTAAACCAGTCAATGGTTCTCTGGCAATTTCATCCTCCTGTATGCCATTAAAAGCTTTCTTCAGTCTACGGTATGGATGGTCATGCGGGAGAAATTTTTTGTGCCTGTTATAAACTGTCTTCTTTCCATGTTTCAATTGTATATAACTGGTCTCTTCTTCACAAATAGGACAAGCATAATGCCCCTTCACACTATACCCACTCAAGTTTCCATAGGCAGGGAAGTCATTAATGGTGCAAAATAACATTGCATGCAACTTGAACTTCTGCTGCTGATACCCATCAAATGCATCTACTCCTTCCTCCCATAATAGTGTTAAGTCTTCTATCAAAGGACTCAAATACACATCTATGTCATTTCCTGGCTGTCTTGGACCTGAAATCATCATACACAACATGACATATTTGTGCTTCATGCATAACCATGGTGGAAGATTGTAAATCATCAATAAAACGGGCCATGAACTATGGTTACTACTTAAATTTCCAAAAGGATTCATCCCATTTGTTGCTAATCCAAGTCTAAGGTTTCTTGCATCACTACCAAAACTTGGAAATAGACGGTCAAAATTCTTCCATTGGGGAGAGTCAGATGGATGTCGCATTTGCCCATCACATGTTTTTCTCTTTGAATGCCAAATTAAATTTTTAGTATCTTCGTGAGCGTACAACCGCCTAAATCTTGGAATAATTGGAAGATACCATAAAACTTTTGCAGGAGGACGTTTTTTACCACTCTCCTGACTACAATCATCACCATCCTTCGTTTTGTAACGTGATACACCACATGTTGGACATTGGTCTAAAGATGAGAATTCTTTCCTGTATAACACACAATCATTAGGGCAAGCATGTATCTTCCTATATTCTAAACCCATCGGACATAGTATCTTCTTCGCTTCATACATACGGTCCGAGCAAGGTGTTATTGTTCGGGAGCATCTCCTTCAAAAGTTGGAGTAATTCATTAAAACTTGTATCACTCCAACCAAATTTTGCTTTTAGATTGACCAATCTTAACACGGATGACAACCGTGTGAAAGTTGTACATCCGGGATACAAAGGTGTCTCTGAATCGGTCCTCAATGTATCATATATAGATGCATGTGCTTCAAGAAAGCTCTCTTGACCCACATCACAAAGCATGTCCTCTATTCGATCTTTGCAGGTTACATCATCCTCAATAGTTTGTGATACTGTTGGAATATCAACCACTTCACCGTGCCATGTCCATATGGTGTAATTCTTCATCATCCCATCGCAAATAAGATGCTCCCGCGTTGTGTCCATCTCTTGTACTCTGCCATTTACACAATTAACGCATGGGCAGTAGATTTTTCCATTCATTTTGGGAGCATTTTGTTCGGCAAATTTCAAAAAGGAGTCAACTCCATTCTCATACTCTTCTGACATACGACTTGCATTGACCCAAGTTCGATCCATCTAACTACACAAAAAGGCTTGCCTAGATATTCAAGGTTTATTAGAAAAGGTTTAACAAAACAATACAAAAAAAACGTGTACATTGCCTAACAATGCTCTAATGTTCCATACATGCTCTAATGTTCCATATACCACTTCGAAACCTAAACCTAAACCTAAACCTAAACGAAACCTAATGTTCCATATACCACTTCGAAACCTAAACGAACCTAGATCAAATCAAACCATATATACAAAATCATCCATCATCTTTCTAATGTTCCTACGCAGAAATGCTCTAAATAATCCATATTTATGTTAAATGCATGTCGTAAATCATCCATACAACTTAATCTAACCCGATGAGAGCGCTGCGAAGGGCGGCGAGGGGCGTAGCACGACAGTGAGGACTGAGGCAGCAGACCACAGCGAATGAGGTAGCAGCGGCGAGTGGGCGGCGAAGGGGCGGCGAGGGGGCAGCAGTGAGAAATGAGGCACAGCGAAGAAGAAGCAGAAGGAGGGAGTATGTGGGACGAAGAAGAAGCAGACGAGGGGGCAGCACGCGGTATAAAGGACATTCAACGTCGGTTATTAAAAAACCCGAAGTGGATAACGCTTTCGACGTCGGGTAAATCATGTAACCGACGTTGATTTTGGGAATTCAACGTCAGTTATACATAACCGACGTTAAATTTAAACATTTAACGTCGTCTGTCATATAACCGACGTTGAATTGTAGTTACTACGTCGGTTATTATATAACCGACGTTAAAGTTTGTTTCATAATTACAAGTTTGCCACCGCGTCTTGTACAACGTCGGTCTTCGTGATAACCGACGTTGGATGCTGTCATAGAAAGTGTTTTCTGTAGTAGTGATATAGTGTCTTGCCAAAGACAATTAATGTCACAACAACATGAACTCATCGTCACATAATCAAAAACCAAATAAAAAGATAGCTGGGTTGCGAAGAAGAAGAGGTTGGTAAAAAAAAATAAATGACTTCAAATTTTCCATTTTTTGCTTTTTTGTTTTATTATTAACTCTCACTCTCCATGTATAAAGGATATATTGCGACAAATATAAATCCGAACAAAGTTGGTGAATGCATGTATCACGTATGTTAACTATATAAGATTTAAGTAGTTTCAACTCTTGATAATAAATTTAAATATGCTCATTTAGAAAATCTAGATCCAACAAAATTTTGCAACATAAATGCATTTTAATTATAAAGTTCTAAAAAATAATCCATTTGATTTAAAAAAAAGTGTTTAACCTAAAATGTCATGATGAAAAAACAGAAGAGATAAACAAAAACTTAAACAAAAGGCAAATATTAACTAATAATCTAATTATCTGCTAAAAGTGTGACAGAAAATAAAACTATTCCATATTTATTTTAAAAAACGTCATGAAAAAAAAAAAAAAACACTCAGTATGAACGAAACATAAACTTCCACTAAGGTTGTCCACAAAAATCTCGAAATTATTGGAGCGTAAGAATTAGGGTGCAGTCCAGAAAAAAATCTGTGGTGGAGGGAGAGAGGAGTTGTGTATTTAAAGGAAGGAAGGGTGGAGCAGGACGATGCAGAAGTTAGCTGAGAAAGAAAAAGCAGTGCAGTGAGATAGATATGAGTATGAAGGTCTTTGTGTTGTTTGTTGCTACAATTTTGGTAGCTTCGCAATGCCATGGCGCTTCCTTCAGAAGCTTCCCTCTCAAAATGGAAACAGGGTATGGCGATGAAAGTTATGCGCCAGTTGGAGACTTGCTGCAGAAACACACAACATCATGGGCTGGGAAACCATTCCTGAAGAGTGCGTAGACGCTACACCAAATATATTGAAGGAAAACAGTACAGATCAGACTCCAAAACAGTTAACCAACAGGCTCTCTTTTTCGCTAGAGCGGTCAAAGTCTATGAGAAGGAAGTCATTGTGTTCAGCATAGATGGAACCGTTCTCTCCAACGTCCTATACTATTCTCAACATGGATATGGGTATGCTCTTTTTTTTTTTCTTTTCTTTTCATACCATGTTTTCTGTTTTTCCTCTTCCTATCTTCTCTCCTTATCATCATTACCAACTGCATGAAGAAAAGGTTTGTCATGTAATGCTTGTAAAGGTTAATCAACTACACCACGTGTAACTGCTTTCATGATCTTTACTTATGAAGAATTTTGTGATGTAGAGTGGAGAAGTTCAACTCCACACGTTATGACGAATTTGTGAACAAGGGTGACTTACCAGCATTGCCTGAGACTCTAAGGAATTACCGCTACCTGGTGAATCTTGGCTACAAGATTATCTTCTTGTCAGGAAGACATGAGAGCAAAAGAGCTGTAACTGAAGCCAACTTAAAGGCGGCTGGTTACCACACATGGGAGAAGTTGATTCTCAAGTGAGTTTCAATCCTTCAAGTTTATTTAACTTGCTTAATACATACAGATCAGTGTAGCATATGCATATTACTATAGTTCATTAAAAAAGGGTGCTGTATTTTTCACTGAAGAGTGTTGAATTTTTTTAAGATATATAATGTAGAGATGCATGAAAAGAGAGGAAAATGTTATTAATGAAGTGGGGATTAAGGAAGAGATTTGTGGTTGCAGGGACCCATCAAACAATTCTCCAAATGCTCGAGTTCAAAAAGGCAGAGAAGGCTAAGCTGGTGCAGCAGGGATACAGAATCGTTGCAGTGATCGGAGACCAATGGAGCGATCTGCAGGGACAACCGAAAGGCATTAGGATCTTTAAGCTTCCTAATCCCATGTACTACATTCACTAGTTCCTCTCACAATCATACATACCATGCTCCTATCTATCAAATAATGTACTCTATGTATTATAATAGGAGCATTCACTATGTATGCATGTGACCCATGTTTGGATGTTTAATCACTTAAGAGACTACACTTTGTTGTTTTCTCTTTTGTGGCGTTAATAAAATATGAACCTTTCTTTCCATAGTTTAAATATTATTAGTTAAAAGATATTAATTATTTGCTCTTTATCACATATTATAAAGGAAGATCATACAACTTTAATATAGAAAATGGACATAAATAACACTTGTATTAATTAGTCTCTATCAAAAAAACAGATTGGAAAAAAATTATTTATTATTAACAATATATTAATTATTTTAATTATTATCTTGTTGACTTCATATTACTAAAAGATAATTGTGATGTATATCTATGTTATGAGTGATAAAGTTCGAGAAACAAAAGAACGTGATATAGAACTCTCCATAGTTAGATAAGAAAAAAATATATACAAATTGAGAGAGGTGTGAATAGAGAGTGTTTAGAATATGAAAGTTCAAAGAATATTTTTGACATTACAAATATGTTATGGAATGATAGAGTAGAATGTTCAAAATAATAAAATTAATAGATGAAGAAGAGGAAGTTGAGATGAGAGTTATCGAAAGAAGTTTATTAATAATTTTAAAAACTGCTCTGTAAAACTGCAGAGACTCAATATGGAAGATCAAGATAGCATCGTAATGAGAAAGAAGAAGGAATAACAGGTATTAATTGTAGGGATATATTTCGATAAGTGGTGTTAAGCCTAGTGGGAAAATTGTATTTTTAGAGGTAAGAATATTGAAAATTATTCAGATCTGTATAAAATCTTAGACATACACCAATGCAAAACATAGAAATGACTATGTCTTTTAACAACGGTTATTTAAAATTGATTGTCAAAGGTGAAGTTTTAAAAATATTATTAACTAAATAATAATAATTATTTAATAATTATCATTGTAAAATACATATAATGATAATTATTAAGCATTTATCGTTGAATGTTGACTATAATAGTTATTTGATAACGAGTGTTTAATATTCGTCATTGTTTATGTTATATAACGATAATTATTAATTATACTCGCATAACTTATGAGTATCATAAAGAAATGAAAGAAATTTTACTATTTACACAACGAAACACTTCAACTAGTTTTACTCGTGAAAGATTTAGGTGTTTATTTGCTAATTGTCTTAATGGAAGATTATTAAATATTGAAGAAGTTATGAAACATATTTTATGTGACGATTTTCTAAAAAATTATACAATATAAACATGACATGGTGAATTATTAGATTTATCAATCGTAAATGAATATGATGATTTAGTTTATTCAACCATGGATGATTGACTAGAGAATACAATTTGTTATGTTGGATTAGAATGTTTTGCTCAAGAGCATTTGTAGCAATGCAAAGACTCCATTTTATCCTGGTTCAATTAACTTCACACGATTGTCAAGAGTGTTAAGATTGATAAATTTGAAGGCAATGAACGAGTGGACTGATAAAAGGTTCACTGAGTTGCTTCAGTTGTTGAAGGATATGCTTCAAAAAGGAAATACACTATTGAATCATAATTATGAGGCAACATTACTTTGTCTAATAGGTGTGGAATATATGATGTTCTAAATTGTATTTTATATAAAAATAAGTTTGAAGGGTTAAAAAAGTGTCCAATTTGTGGGTTATCTCATCACAAAGTGAAGAATAATAATTAAGGCAATAGTAATAACATTATTATTGAGAGACTCCTGCCAAGTCCATTTGGTATCTTCCAATAATTTCAAGGTTTAAACGTTTGTTTGTGAATCTGAATTGCACTAAAAACCTTAGATGAAATATAGATGAGAGAACATGTGATAAATTGATTCGTCATCTAGTTCACTATATATAATAAAAGGACTTTGATAATGTGTTTCTCGAATTTAGTGATAAGTCAAGAAATCTTAAATTTAAATTGACTACTGATACAATGAATCAGTTTAGTAATCTAAGTACTAATCATAGTTCATAGTTCATAGTCTATTTTGATATTTATTTGAAAAACGGTAACTAGAATTAAAACTCAGCTGAAAATTGAAATTGAAAGTTGAAATTGGAAATGCAAACAAAGAAATTTAAACGAATTGAATATCACAACAACATATCAATCGAAACATGAAATCGAAATTAAGTTTGTAGCAAAAGCTAATCAAGATTGACATGGAAATGAAAAAAATAGTAGACTAATCAGTATTTAAATCAAAACAAGAAATCGAAACTGAGTTTGCAGCAAAAGCTAATCGAGGTCGAAATGGAAATAAAGAATCAAAATCGAACTATATGAAATTGGAAATACAAAATAGAAATTGAAACTAAAACCGGAAACGAGAAACATAATTGAAATTGAATTTGAATGTAAAAATGTAAATGAAAATTGGAATTGCATAAACAAAAAGAGCGAATTGAAATTGATTTTTTTGAATTTGAAAACTGAATTCAATTGAAATTTTAGTAGCAGAAATAGGAAATTGAAATTGTAATCAATCAATTCCTTACTTGTACATTTCTCAATCCAATTGATGCATTACAATTAAAATATGAAAAATCTTGATTGAAATTTAAGAGACCAATCAATACAAGGATTACAAAATACAACAAAGCGCGGGAAAGAGTTGAATTGAAAACAAGAAACTGAACAAAAAAATTGTAATAGAAAACAGAAAACTCTTCAACTGGAAGGTGTAGCAACTGAAACATACTCAAGTCTCTATAGAAAAAACGATTGAATGTCCTAAAGTCTCCTTCTCTACTCTATATAAATTGTTCTGAAAGAGGAAAAATTAATGGGCCAAAGCTTATTCAAAATTGGGCCCATATAATACAGTACCCAAAAAAATCTAAATTTCTATTATTTATTAAAAATAGGTTTGGACGCCAAACATTACATTTCATATGTCCAAATTGTAGCCCCGGAGTAAGGAATCAAACGCAAAAAGAATAAACTAAAATAGACTTTATAGAAAAAATATAAATAAAACAACAAGCAAAAGTCAATGCTAAAAAGTACAAAAATATAGTAGAAAAATACAGAAAATGGTACATATTTAAAAAATCTCCTATTTATTACTAAAAATAAAAATACGAGGTAAATGTAATGAATAAAAGAAAAATAAATACTTGAAAAATGCAATAAGACTATAAAAATGTGTACAAAATATGAGTCATCATCATGTTTCTCGTGCTCCTCTTAGGAATGACTTCTCCCCCCTCCAGGACAACTAGAGACTCATCATTTATTGGTGCAAGTTAGAAGTTAAACACTGTATAGATGTGATGCATGTTCAAAAAAATTTGTGATAGTGTAATTGGGACATTACTTAACATAAAAGGGAAGATAAAAGATGAAATAAAAGTACGACAAGATTTGGTAGTCATGGATATATATTTCAAGTTACATCCACAGTTTGTTGTTGGAAAATGTACTTACTTACCTCCATCTTGTCATACTCTATTAAAGAAAGAAAAGAAAAGTTTTTGTCAGTGTTTACGTGAGGTGAAAGTGCCACAATGTACTCTTTCAATGTTAAGTGTCTTGTACTTATGCAAGAGTTGAAGTTAGTTGGTTTAATGTTTCTTGATTGTCAGGTGTTGATGTAACCACTTTTACTTATTTGAATCATCTTACCAATTTCTATTGGAGTTATTATTACTTGATTGTGTTTATTTTTCAATGTCATTTTCAAAAAAGTAATTGATCCTCAAAAATATGAATTGGAAAATGAAGCAATCATAATATTATGTCAATTGGAAATGTATTTTTCCCCTTCATTTTTTGATATCATTGTGCATTTGATAGTCCATTTGGTCAGAAAAATCCAATTACGTGGTCCGATTTTTCTAAGATGGATGTATCTTGTTGAGAGATACATAAATATCTTAAAAGGATATGTAAAGAATCAATACAGGTCAGAAGCTTTTAATGTAGAAAGATACATTGTCGAAAAAGCCATTGAGTTTTATTTAGGATACAAGTCAAAATCAGAACCAATAGGTATTCCTAAGATGGGGCATGATAAAATATATGAAGGTAAGGGTATTCAGAATTTAAAGATTAAAAATGTCGACTGGAAAGAAGTTGACCAAACACATTTATACATATTGAACAACACTGATGAAGTAATCTCTTATATATCGTAACACATAAGTGAAATAAAGGTAACACATTCGTAAATGAATGAAAAATGGGTATTGAATGAACATAACAAAAGTTTCCTTTCTTAGTTTAAAAAAAATGTATATGTTGAGGTTAATTTCATAAACACTTTTGAGACTTGCTCGTGGGCCAAACAATGATGTCATTACATTTGATGGGTATGACATTAACAACTATTGTTTTTACTCAAAAATAGAAGATTATAAAAGTAGAGTACAAAATAGTGGGGTCAATATTCAGGTTGATTCTATACACTTTTCTAGTTTTAAAGACAAAAATCTCATTACAGCATCTGAGTTATTTTTGGGTCATATAAGAGATATGAGAAATTGATTATGTTACGTCCTTGGTGTTCTTGTTCAAGTGTAAATAGGTTGAGGGTAATAAGGTGTGTGGATAAATGATTTAAGATTTACTTTGGTTGATTTAAGCAAGGTCGGGTATAAGGATGAACATTTTATTATGGGCGTATGAAGCGAGAAAAATATTTTATGTAAAGTATCCATGTAATGAGAGATGATTGATTGCCTTTGAAGGAAGAAGCATGCACGAAATTCACAAAGATGAGTCTCTAGGTATATATGAGACACATTTGTTTTCAAGTAGAACATTTGATGACCTTGTTGACAATAAAGTGAACGACATACATACAATTTGAAGTGATCATGATGAAGGTATATGGGAAAATATATCAACATAATAGGTATGTTGACTTCTTTTTGTTTAAATTTATTAAGTATGTTGACTTCATGTTGTTGTCTTCATTTTGTCGAA